TTACCTTGGTGGCATATTGGTTTGTTGTGCCTTAGTGTCATTTGGTTGATTTGCATTGATGGTTTAATTTCTAAGTTTCGGGTGTATTTTCAAAATTGACAATTTTGCTGTAAATGTGAATGTACAGTGAATTGAATGTAACGGCGTGTTGAAACTGGAGATCCTTTGCAGTGTTCAGTTTGATGGATTGGTGGTGTAAATTCCTTTGATTTATCATCGAGCGTTTTGTGTGACTTCAAGTCTAGCTTGCTTTTTAATCTTTGACGTTTGGCAACTGTACCATTGCATTTTTATATAAATAACAAATGAAGATATCTTGTGAAAAGTGGACCTGTATATATTGATGCTAGACACTTGCGGAGTTGGTACTGAGTTCTCACATGGTATAGTGACCAAGCTTGTTTATAGAGCCAAATGCTACCATTATTGACTTGTTTAAAGTTACTTGAATAGTATTTGTACAGTATTTAAGAAACACATTTTTCAATCCCAAGTCTACCTCCAAGATTTCTTGGACTTTGTGTCTGAGTATAAAACGAATGGGGGAATTGAGTGTTTAAATGTCAGCCGGAGGATAGTCTTCGCTCACTTCACATTTTAACCTGTGAGCCATGCCTGGCACAGAGTGGTTTAAATTTCAACATGAACATTAGTAGGCTGCTAGGAGGCCTTGCTTCTGTACAAGCCTCATCCATTAAATTCCGGTAACAGTGAGAAACACACAGACCACAATGCCTGTCCATATTCTTGTGGATCCGTGAATGGAATGACCTGCAGGAGAAACCTTACACGGCCGAGTCCGGACTGGCTGTCTTACCTGGGTCTGTCGGCAGGATCCTCCAGCGGCGGTAGGGGTGTGCCTTTGTTGGGATGCCCTGAGGTGGACGCTGACTTCTGGTGCCGCGGTCTCGCTGTTGATGCGGGGAGATCCCTTCTGCGGGGTGGACAGCGGTTACAAAGCAATAGTCAAAACTAAGTGCAAACCAACAGTTCCTTTGATAGTCTTTCACGTTATACTCACAACTAAGCTCACTTATACTCAGTTAGTAGAAGGCCAGTGTGGCTAATTTTGTTCCTATTTACGATTTTCCAATGCTTGGCTTTGCTCGTGTTTCTGCCTGATTTGTGAACTCCTCAGAATTTGAAGCTGTTAACTCAATAGGAAGTCATACATTCCAATCAAACAGAACACAGGACTATATGCCATCAACCCAGGCTAGAGTATTTTCATTAAACATATAAATTACTGGCCCACAAGCAGTTCCGATGTCAGCCGCAAAGCCTGTGATGGTGACACAAACCAAGCATTCGAAAACCCAACTCTAAAGAAAAATGCCTGGCCTCAGGCTCTGCTGAGAAAAAAAAGGTGTGTGATGCATTCTAACCCCTACCCACAATACACCAGTGGTACTTCCGCAAGGATACTGCATTGCTAACTCTGATCCCTCCTCCATTCACTTTAGCTCCTCCCACCCTCACTCACATCACTACCACTTACCCCGGGACATTGTATCGTTCATTCTGGCCGTTGGTTCTGCCTCCTCCCGTAGCATCCCTGTCTCCATATACGTAGGTGTTTCTTCTAGTCATGCCCGGATTGCTAGGTATGTGCTGTCAGACGAATTGATATCAAACACACTCAACAAAGCTGTCTCATTTTTCCTTCTTAACCACATCAGAGCCACGAGCATCTGTGAAAAAACCTGAGCTACAACAGGCTGATTCCGTAAGTCCGGCAGACCATGGATACTGCACATCATACGCATGTACTCACAGGTAGACATAAATCATAGCTACGAATGCTCCGGACATCACAGGGCAAGGCATACTGAGTCGGTCCATGTTGGTAACAAAGGCGAGGTGAGGCATTTGAACTTATTGCATTTTTTGCTTCACTGTAAATTTGGAACATTAGTCTTTGGCCACATTAGGTTAAGACCAAGTAAGCCTGCAACACTGTTCTAGGATTCTTCTGCCATTTCATAATGACAGCCACTTCTTTGAAATACAATGTTACGCCAAGAAGTGCTACAACCTCAACAAAATGACCAACACAAACATTAATTAAGCTATTAAAAGGATTTGGCAGAGCAACCTTTGGCGTAGCTGATTTCTGTTTCCGTGATGACCCCTCCTGGCTGTTGGGGGTCCCTAGCGTGGGCGTGGTTGTTCCTCCCGTTGTTTTACCCGTTGTTCCTTTGCTGTTGCCGATGGCACCGGCGCTGGCCCGCCCCTGTCGCGTCATGACAATGTTCTCCTTCAGGCCATTGTCAATGTTGTGCCGTTTGTACGAGGTACTTGTCACATGGGAACCTGTGGTGGGTGTTGACAATCAGTTAAAACATGCATGCATACCTTCTTAGGCATTTAAAATGCTGCATAAAAGTTGAAGCCTCGTGTACTGAATGACAGCTTGTAAAATTAAGTTCACACTTGATGTTCAAATAAATGCAGCAAATTAGCTTCTTCTGTCAAACAAACATTTGCTTTTGCAAGCTACAAGCATCCAGGTTAGACTTCAAGCCAGGGATAGCCAGGGCTATCCTTGTTTTACAATTACCCTAGTGTACAATAGCACGAGTCTAGAGCCTAGACTAGAGAGAAAGAGTAGAGCCCATTGTCAGTTTTTGTGAAACTACGCTGTATAGAGTCATCAGTGGGAAAGCCTTCCTTCCCAGGTAAAAGTTGTTCTGCAAAGTTTGGCATGAAATGAACATCAGCTTCATGAAAATGTCAGGAAACCCCCCCCCCAAAAAAAGTCAACCGGAAACTTCCCAGTTATGCCCACTTCACTGTGTTAACAGTACATTTTGCTGAGATGCCATTGAAATGGCCTAAGTTTCAGGGTACCAATCAGGTGAGCCGCTAATACATGTGAACGTGATAACATGACTACTTGGCAGCATGCCAACAACCATGAGTAGAATGAGTATGGGACTGGTGTGATTTGATTCAAAAACTTCTGTGTCCTTCTCCTCCCCCTTCAATCACAAATCACCCCCAAAACAGGACATTTCAGCGACCTCCAAAGTTGACTGGGTTGTAGAGGCAATATCAAGCTGGGGGAGACACTGATAGGTCTTGTGGAATTATGAGGGACAAAAAGTCAGGCAAGAAAAGGGTGTACATTCATTCTACATGGGGTCAAAGGTTACACTGTATGCATACAACTGAGAAACTGCACTGACAGCCCCAGAAATAAGTTCCTTGGTTGATATATAAAACCGCATTAGCAATTTTTAACACATTCTTTAGAACATCCCTAATTAATGAAAAACAGGTACAAAACATAAACACAAATATTAAAAAACAAAAAGGGAAAAAGAAAACCATTTCAAAGCTAGGATAATGGAACTCATGAAAACATGGTATATTAAAAGTGAAGGCTCAACCACAGCAAATCAAGTGAAGATCAATTTGATGATTGTTTGATGACTTTCAGTGAATGAAATGTCATTTCCTGATCCATAACAGATGTACATGACAAGAATGAAATCTACATATGTCAGTACCTTCATCTGATAAAGCCCTTTGGCATGTTAAAAGAAAACATCCTGGTTGCTGATGAATTGTCTAGGACCTGTACTTTCAGAAGACAAATCAGCTTTTTTCTTTCCTGTCTGTGAGCTGTTTTGAATATCAATTTGTCAAAAGCGTGTTTTGATATCACTTCAGAAATCATAATAGCTAGAAATTCAGAAAAGCACTGGTCACATAGAACAAAATACTCTGGAGTGAAAGCAGCATTACAATATGCCTCCATGAGGTAAGCAGTGAAGCATTCTGAAACGATGCAACAGCCTTGAATTCTGAGGGCAATGCAGCTGTAACATGTAATGTCCCCCTCCTCAAACAGAGAAGCAGGGATGATGTGGACATTAATGCTTTTCCATCTGCGTGTTGGTCTTGTGCCATGCGGCTGAATGTATGCTACGACTAACAACTACCAATACGGATGGGTTTCAAGTCTGTCTTACCCATGAGCACCGAGATGGCCAATATACATGCAAGATTCAGGAATTGACTCATTGATTCTGAGCATGGCTGACAGAAAGTGCATTGGTAGCTAGCAACAGCCCCCTTAGGGTTGCCACACTTGTTTGCATGAGTATGATGTACAATGTGCATGATCTACGAGTTCAACTCATAGATTTTCGCGTGGGCACCAAGAACAGTGGCAACTGTGCTAAGATACACACAGTGTTTCTTATGAACCGACGAGCCAGTTGGATATTTAAAACTGGCAAGGTAGAAGAAGAACAAAGCATCTGATGTCACGTCAGCTCAAACATGTTCTGTATTTGTGAATACAGCTGCACTTATAAGACCTCACGCATCTACTATTGTTTCCTTTCAACATGTGCTGTAAAAATGCTGAATCTTGTCACTGCATAGTGACAACGATGGGGAGTGGTACTATAGGACTCACATCCTGCTAGTGAGTCATTTAGCATCAGTGTTCTGCCCCAAAACTGTGATTTTCATTAAATTCTGATTTTTCAAAACTATACATCAAATCTTGATGCTGTACACCTGCAGTGAAATAGTAATCTTTGTTGGTATTGTATTTAACAGGACCAGCAGCTTGCACTTGAATGGAGTGTCTCAAAAGACTGTCCTGAGTAAAGTATGTGCCTTTGACACTCATGGGACCTGCTATGTCTCCTCCACCTATCTGTTTAACTTTGCTACCTACAGAACACTGCATCCGTGTTGGATTATAGTTCTATTCTAGCCAGAATGAAACGGCTTCCTTCTTTCTACCGCAATACGGTTGATCGCTCATTCCAAAGGACAACTGAAGTCACCAGACTGTTTAAATGAAATGGGCATGTTACCTCAAGCAGGCAGGGTAACACTAAAAAAAACAAGAAGAAAAAGTTACATTTACCTAAAATTACTTTTCATGCAGAAGAGTAACGAGAACTCAAACTAAAACAAGGCCATGAAGGAAAACTATACACACTCAGTCAGAGAACGTATGTATGACATTCTTGTCTGTAGAAGGATCAAGCTGTGAGCTGAAGGACCATCCAAGTTTTGAGTTCAGAAACATTCCTTAAATTGAAATATCTTAGTGGCTGCTTTATAAATTTGAATTTTTTTGGGGGGGGGAGGCATGTGCGCTGCAGGCACATGGCTGAATTTTGATATGATCTACTCTGGACACTACTAGGTACTGCAACTACCAAGGGAAATGTATGCAAAAAGAGCAAGGGTGATTTCCAAGATTGGTTGGAAGCTTTGCTAAACACAGTCCAGTGACCTTGAAGCAACTTCACCAAGGATTATTTGTACTTTTGTCCTTAGGAATGGTACTCGTTAATAAGCTGAAGAGGACTACCACACCCTCTCAGTGCTATCCTAGCTCAGTGTGTGCTGCATGTATGGTTGTGTGCATGACACCTTTCAAAGCAAACGTCACCTCGTGGGTATGATGCGTGATGTCACTGTTCGACCCAACTACTGAGCATGGTTAAAGACAGAACTGCTGCATGGCAATCAAGAATTTTAACCCATGACTCTGCCTCTCATGTGGCTGAGAATTCTTTTTGACTTCTAAGGCAAAGTACGAGCATATATCTCTAAACAGCCTTTTAAGACCAAGCAGGGTTTTGGCTTTGCTTTCTTTAAGTATTTGGTGGCTGTTTGACAGCACAGCCATTAACACATTTTACCGTCTTAGTGTTTGCACAAAGCTCAGGAATAATCGGTAATAAATCAGTGCAAAATTAACCACAGATCACAAAAAATCCAAAATTGAAAGAGTCAAACAAATGAAATCAAAAAAAGTAAAGTTGCAAATAGACACATGTTCCTGGTACAAATGGGTCAAACACATGAATACGAATTTCAACTGAGTCATTATCTGAGGTAAAATAAATGAAAATAAAAATTTCAACGATAAAAAGAGGGAAAAAAGATTGTAAGAAAGCATCTCTACTGAAGATGAAGTGGGTACAGATGTTGGAAGCTCAATGGCATGACCAAGACAGAAGGGAATCCACATATTACCTCGTTTTCGGATGACTTTATTGTTGACACAGCAAGTTAACAATGGGAGACAAGGAAAAGACAAACGGGTTATGGTGTACAAACAATATACAATATACTTTGAGGTCATAAGGTCATTGTCACGGAAACAATTTGCAAAACCCAGGGGAGCACAAGTTGTGTGACTCAAAACGAACAAGGGGGTAGAGGGGGAGGGTAACACTCTTCAAAACCATCATGCTCAAAGGTTAAAACAAATTTTCAAAACTTGATATTTTCATGACACCAAGTTGGTTGGACGGAGAAGTTTGGGCGAGCTGGAATGCTTTTACTTTGGATGTCAAACATTTCAAAGATCCTGTGCAGCCCGGTCTATTGTTTCCATGACAACTGCTTGGAAAGCGTGAAGAGAAGAAAAAGCAGATGTGATTAGAGGGGATCTCTCAAGGGTCAAAGGTCAGTCTAAGGATCTGATCAGTGGCTAAGGAAACTACAGTCAGTTGCTAAGACTACAGCTTAGCTGGACATAAGAATGAAATGGATCGATGATTCTTAGTCACTGCATCCAAGTTTTCTTGAAACAAACTGACTTCTCTGAGGACTCCTATTCACTAGACTCAGATGCTCAATAAAGTGTTAATAGCATGAATGAATTTGTGAAATTTAATTTGAAGTTTGTTGGGTGGTGGGGGCAAATTTGTACATGGTTTGCACCGTTGTTCACTTCACCACTAGAAACTGAGGTTGTTTACCAAAACAAACCCTCTGATCTTTTCAACTTGGACATTTTGAGCAAGTCCAAAAATTGTAAGTGTTCTAAAAAGGGAAGCTGGATGACGATAAGACACATTTGACTGGAATTGCATGTACTTTTTCAGACCGATTCTGCCAAAGACAAAATGTGGACTGGTACTTCTGGAAAACGGTTCGGTCCACTGGAATAAGGGTGTGCCCACAAGAACGTAACAGTCCCTGTTTCCAGATGGGGTGACACTACATTCAGAATCAAAATCCCGAACAAGTCTGTGATACTGGTTCTCAAAAAACCAGTGGCTGGTACAGGCTGAATTTGTATTATTACAATCATCTTCGACAGAGATCCAAATTTTACGATTTGAAGAAATGTTACTGTTGGAAGAGCCTGAAAGTTTCAAGCAAAGAATATCACCTTCCAATATTTCTTTCACTATTAACCCAACTGAAGACGTTTGGCAGAAGTGTCGGGGGGTGGGGTTGAATTTTTTTGCATAATCTGCAAGAACTCAAAAGGAATGCACTGAATCAAATGATAAATGCCATGATCCACACAATGTGTGAAAAAAAGGCAATGAGCATGAAGTTCACTTTCAGAAAAAAATGACAATTGACCCATAGTAAGTTTGCAACCCCCCCAGCCCAGAACATCATGCAACAAGAAGATATTTATATGATTGGAAGTTCCTCATAGCTGAGCACGCTTAAAATGCGTCAGGAAAAAGTTCAGTTCCCTGAACGCATTGCATCTCGTCTCCTAACTCAGCAACAGGAAACTAGTCAGATCAGACCATGACGTTGCATCTCAAAAACAAAACATATCTCAAACATTCGCACTCAGATGATATCATTTCAATTCTCCTTTCAATAATGCGGCAAGACTCCACTTTTCTCCCTTCAATCAAATGGCTTGTATTGGGTATATTTCAGGCAGTAATTCTGCATGATAACTGTCTAACTGTCTATCTTTCAGGCTGGAAAGCTAAGATGTTACAGGAGATTTTCTTCAAGGCAGTCCCACCACCTCTAGAATCTACCGATCTTGGTAAAAATAACTATCAGCATGAAATCTACGGTGTTTACAGCAAGCAGAAGCGGAGTTTTTGGAAAGCGTGGACCTACCAGCCTGCTCAGGGCAGGTTATCTTGACTGTCACTTTCCCTGCAGTGTCAGAAAAATATCCAACATCAACCAAAAATTGTGCATTTCAAAATCAGCACATCGACACCTTCCCTCCCACAAATCTCTAAGTGACACAGTAGGTTCACGTTTGACGCCATCATTTCAGGGACAGAACGGGTGAGGAATAGATTTACTGAGTTAAAACTGTCTTGGGTTCTAGTAAGGTTTTTAAGGGAAGGTTTGAGAGAAGTTTGAGAGAGAGTTTTCTTCCATCCTTGCCACTGATCAAAATTCTCGGACCAAACCAAAACCCGGCACAGTCAACTGTGGAAAGATCCCCTCCGTGCACACAGAGCCAGCAGGACAGTGCCACAGAGACAGAATGTGTAAAAGCCAACCCTCCCCAAAGAACTGACCGTAGTTCTCGCCTCCATGGCTAAACCGTCTCTCTTTCTGATTGGAGGGGATGCCACGTTGCTGTTTCTTACCATGGGAGGAGGGCGAAGGGGAGATGGCAGAGGTCAGATCGGGGATGTTGCGCTGCGTTAGCGAGAGGCTGCTGCTGGAAGTTGAGTCTGCTTCCTCCGACTGGTAAGAAGGGGCAGAGGGATGAGCCAAAACAATCCAATATTGATTTTGAGAAAAGAAGGAAAAAAAATTCCATTGAATGAAAACTGGTGAGTGGCACAATGTCGAAATGTCTCAAAAACAATGTAAATATGATGTAATCTATGACTTCACATGGATGAATCCAAAAAAATGTAACTGGGCATTCTCGAAACCCCTACAATGGTGGAAAATACTGTCTTTGGTTCTGTACAGAATGACTGTCACAGAGCAGGGGTCCCATACAATAGCTATGACAATGCTTACTGCTGTTTGGCAGGTGACAATTGCAAATGACCGGTGATAGTGTGATCCTGTCCATTAGATTCATCTTTAGTTAGAAGTTTGGCTTAACTACTTTACAATTTATTACGACTGATTTTGACTTTTTTGACCACTTCAATGTCATGAGATCATAAAAATTAGGTTTTGAAATTGCTTAAACAATACCAGACATATAGACTATAATGTCCACGTATCAAATTTATCTTTATCTCAAGGATATTTATCAATCACATCAAAAACGGTCAGATCGTAACACCCAATGTGAAACATCAAGCATGCAAAACTAGCGAAAACCAATACCAATCAAGCTTCATATCATTTTTGACTGCACTGGCCATTCTGTTAGTCAAATTGTGGTCAATTTACAAATTAATTAAGAACTGCTTAAGAAGAAAAAGTGGTGCCAAACTGCCTTACACACTGGCTAAAGCTGCACCACACGTCTTGGAGTTCACATTCTGCAGGATGAAGGAGTTTTGTACACACTTAAACCGAGATTCAATGCATCTGGTCCTAGTGACACACCACAGGACACGTGACTCTCACTAGTAAAAGTCAACAGTCGTCACACGGAGATGCAATCTCTAATGGGTTGGAATCAGACCTGATGCGATTTCCCCCCAGGGTCTGATACACAGAGGGCCAACAAAGAAAAGAAGCCTCCAGGGTGGATAGGGTGAGGAAGGAGTTGGGGGAGGGGGGGAAGAAAGGATGAAGTCAACACTCACGTCTTGCGCCCTGCGACCCAGCAGCAGGTACGTGGCATAGGGGTCATCGTACTTGTGATTCCTGAGCGAGTCATCAATATCTTTGCGCTTGAAGCCCATGTTGAGCATGATCTCTATCCGCCGGTCATCGTTGAAGTCCAGTTCTGGCTCTTGGTATGGCTTGAGCTCATCGTCCTCATAGCCACTGTTCATCCACTTGTCTTTCATTATTGTCTGACAAATTCAAAAAAATACAATAATGTCACTGCACTTCCAAGCAGGACCAAAGTCATGGAGCTGCTGAGTTTCAAATGCTACAGAACAAATTTACGTACTTGAGCCAAAAAAGTTGATTGAACAAGTCATGAGCAATATACCTTTCAGAACACATTGGCTGGTAACTTGTATTCTTCTATAGTTATTTATTTGCCGTGCTTAGTGGTGTCATGTTATCAGCCCAAGCACACCTCACACACATTTTTAAAACCTCATTCTGCCTGAATTTGTAAGCATTTTTGGTCCCACTTACACCCTTGTGACAGCAAAGCCAAGAACGCTGCTGTTAGATTGTGCAACTTTCTTTAAGCCAACATTCACGAGAGCTGTGCAAACTCAATCACAAATTGATGACAACACTGCTATTGGCACAATAGGCTTGCATGCATGGAATGGGTCCCAAAGCGCCATCCGTGATAAGACCTTTTTGTGGGTTGGCTACGCACTACCTGCATTGAGTCCATATGTAACTCTTGGAAGGTTAACACATTCAAAGCAAGTTAACGAAGAACGCTCTTATTTCTTATGGGTATAATGTATCAACCAAGAGTGACAGCACGGCACGATACTTTTATCAGCTGTTTATGGCAAGATCCATTACGTTTTGGTGTCTGGATATGCAACCATTCACCTCACCTCTAGATTAGCGCGTTTTGCAGGGTTGAGCATCAGAAATCTCTTCAGTAGATTTTCACAGTCCGTCGACATGTAGAACGGGATACGGTACTTGCCTCGTAATACTCTTTCCCTAAGTTCCTGTCGAGAATTCACAATTTCAGACAAATTAGAGAAAAAAAGGGTTGAATACCACTTCTGATATTTCACTCACACCCCGAGTCTTCACGATTTTCGAATGCATTATGTGCAGGAGTGGGTAATGTGTCTTACTTTTAGATTTTGACCATCGAACGGTAGTGACCCGCTGACGAGGGTGTAGAGAATGACACCTAAACTCCAGACGTCCACTTCGGGGCCGTCGTACTTCTTGCCTTGGAAGAGTTCGGGTGCCGCGTAGGGTGGACTTCCACAGAATGTGTCCAGCTTGCTGCCCAGGGTGAATTCATTGCTGAAGCCAAAGTCGGCAATCTTGATGTTGAGGTCTTTGTCGAGCAGAAGATTCTCCGCCTACAAAAAGGAAATCAAATATGAAAATTGTTTTGGATGAAGTAAGCTCTAGAAAAAGTCTTCTTTAGGGAAAGTTGAATATTCTTTTGGAAGAAAAAGAGGTAGAAAAATTAAAGGCAGAATCCACCATTTGCGTGTTACCTTTGTATGAGGCAATAAACTGGTCAAATCTAAAGAAGGGTGCATTACAACTAATCTTATAAGTTTGAGCTCGGTGAATACTGTATATTCAAAGGAAAAACACTATTTTTGGATCCCAATTTCAAATCAAAATTTGCAAACGCTCTAAAATTCAGCATCCGGGACACGCTTTCATTTAGCCAATTTCAGCTGTGATATGGCACACTGAAAAATTGGACGACCTACATGTATGTATGAGAGCATTCTGTCTGCTTGTGCATGCTTCAGCACATTAATTGACAAACAACTAAGAGCAATTTCCAAATTTGCATCTTTAGACACATCATTGGAAAGAGGCCTTGTTTCATTGCTTTCTTCAGAATGACAGCTTGCCTGAATCAAATATTTCAGGCATTCTATTTTGCATGTCATGATGAAGGTGTGCATTTCATTTGATAACTAGTAAGGCAGAATTTTACAACACTTGCTCATGAATATCTGAAATAAGGTCAGTTGAGCAAACTCATTTGCATTTTATACACACAAGTATGAACAAAACGAACTGTGTAGTGGAATGTGAACCCACTACCACTGAAATACAATGCTACTGCTGAACAACCTGAGCTATCCAGCCTCAGGTCAGCACCATCTCCATTTTTCACTGCCACTGTTTTGGCACAGATTAATTGAGTCCGACGCAACTTCTGCTTAAGGACTGCACTCTGCTTAGCATGCAGGACTGAAGTGGGATTACTTGAAAATTATACTTTTGTATTAATAGATTTAAGAGGAACTGAGGAAGTGTCAATTGCCCTACTAATGGGCAGAACTAGGGGTAGGGGAAACTTCTGAAAAGTGTGTGGAACTGTCAAAAAAAAACCCAAACAATCAGCACCCTGACATGCCTATCTCTTCTTGCGACCCAAAATGTGGCATCAACGTATCAAGTGACGTGCTTGACCACATTAAAAAAAAAAGACGAGAGAGCCATATTTCCAGCTTAAAATGCAAGCGAATCTGACTCCTTGCCTAATCTTCTGGTTAATAAGATATATCCTGCCTCTCTTTCCTGTTATCCATATCCAACAAGAAGTGTTTTTGCTGAAATCTTCAATACAGCACCTCTTACATGCTGCATACACACATGACCACACACACCCAGGCCAAGACAATTAACGTGTACTGTCAAATTAAATACAGGCTTCCTGTCAAAGTGACATCACCGTTTGAATTAACTCTGAATACTTAGGCCTCCTCTACCACGTGCTGGAGGCTGCATACAACAAGCAAGGAAAATATTTCTCACATTACTGGATATACGGGGTGTCTTAAAAAAAAAAAAAAAGAAAACCGAGGTTAATTAATCTGTTTCTTAATGTGACTGATTATTTTGGTAAATGGAAAATATATCTGTTTCAATATGATGTTCTCTTTTGTATGACACCAAGAAATCCAAATTTCTGTCACACATGACTGAGCACCAAGTGCTTTAATAGACCATGTCAGAAATGGCTTTGCACCAGATGCATCACTTTTGATCAACTTTTCATCTATTTTGCACAGTATAAGGCAATAAATAAACAAGCAAAGTCATTAATTCAAAGACAACCACAGTTTATAGTGTAATTTGACCACCAGAATTAGAAGCCATTACTGCGGTGGCACAACGTTCATGGACAGGTGGTACGCGCGTTACATGCCTCTTTGACCAATCGGGTGTCGTAATTTGCCAAATGCACGCGCGCGTCAAACTGAAGAATGTGTGTGTGAGTGCGGTGCCACAGCAGTTATGGCGTCTAATCGGATTAGTCTATTGGGGCTCATTCTTGTAGCAGCCTGATAACCCGTGTCCTTCAACATACCCCTCATTTCTTTCAATGCAAACTTCTGCCTTTGTTCTCATCGCTTTTCGAAGGGTATCATATCTTTTGGAGATTGCAGCTAACATGAGCCATGTCTGGACAGAATGAATTGAACACCAAACAGCTACTGGTATGTGGTGCAAATTCACTTCTGACGTGGTACATTAAATCACTTCATGCTCAGTCATCTGTGACAGAACTTTGGATTTCTTAGTGTCATACAAAAGAGGACATCCTGATAAAACAGATGACGGTTACCAGTTACCAATATAATGAGCCACATTCGAGAAATGAATAAATGTATCTCAGTTTCCTTTTTTCACAACACCCTGTATACTTGACCACATGCCAAATTTTACTGCGAAAGTGAAAGGCTGCTGAGAATCTTTGAATGTATGGCTTGTAGACAGACATGCGCACACCACTCTGATGAAGTCATTAACCATTCAATAACAAGTACACAGATAAAGGAAGTGTTCTGCATGTAGTACTCGTCAACATCCATCAGCAAACATACTTTAATCCGATACTGGTTTATAACAACACTCAGAGTTCATTATTTTCTGTTTGCGTATGATATGTTTTTGTAAGTCTAATCAGTGTGAACTAGTGTCCTGAAGCTGATTAGGACACACACACTTTTTGAAATGCAAATCACTTGTGAGACATTGTAAAGCATGCAAATTAACTGATACCTTCAGGTTAGTGGCGACGGTGAGCCTAGTCTGGATCAAGTGCTTTTTTCTTAACAAGTCTCAGCACTGTCACGAGACATTCTCACAAATTCAGATGGAAGAAAATGAAGTCGTGAAATTTGGATACAAACTTGAGTTTTGAAAGTTTAGATATATGCGGACTGTGCAACTGCAGGGATCTATTCAAAGTTGCCACATCTATTGTCAAAGCTCTATCAAAAGATGTAGAGTGTAATGGTCAGGTTGCAGAATTGACATGGAATTCCATTCAGTTGTGAAGAGTGTGCCGGTGAATACAAACCTTCAGATCTCGATGGACGACCCTTTTCTGATGGCAGTACTGAACTGCTGAAACAATCTGCAGAGCCAAAAAAGGAAAAAAAAATGGGAACAGTATTAAAATTAACAAACCACTTTCTTTCAGCCATCTGAGCTATCTATAAGATCGGCAGACTTCCAATTCTAAGACTACACAATTAAAACTTCTTCCGTGTACAAGATGACATTAGCTGTCTCTGACAAGCAGCATTTGGATGTTCTACGAAATCAAGTTTTCTAACAAATTTGAAAGACGGGTCTAGTGGCCCAAGTCTGAAGACTATTTTGCAATTCGCAACAGGCACTGACAGCAAGATATCACATCACATGAGGGCCTGTATCGGAGTAGACATGACCTCCCCTGATTCATTTGCCTCTTCTATGGTTGTTCTCGTAAAGAGAAAACTGAAAAAAAAAAAAGTGCCGTGCCATGACTCAACATGAGTGCTTACAATTATGTCATGTGACTTATCAAGTATTCCATTTCGCATCGTGAAAGTCTATATTTCATGTCATGATACCACAGACATATTCCTCTGGCATTTATAAATTGACCGCCCGTAAAAGCTTCGGTTTCTAAATTAAAGTGACTCTCGTGCTGGCATAATTTCAGGCACAAATATTCAAGAGCAGTGAGGGTCAAACATTTCGTAGAACGTCACATTAACATGTTTAAGTAAACGGATTGTCTACAATAAGACATGGATCACGAGGTTCACAAAGTAGAAACGCTGTCAATGGTCATGTCAAAGTCTGCTTTGAATACCAACAATAAACGATGAAGGCCATTTTGTGTTTTGCGCAGACAGGGGCAATTGAATTGGTTGTTTCCTCTGAGAAACTCAGAGTCTTGTGTTGCTCATAAACCAACAAAGAATAGGTTACTAAGTGAAGGAGGGCATATGCATGTGGAAAAGCAAGCATGAAGTTGAAGGGCAGTCCCTTGTGCAGGGAACCACTTTGTTGCATTACTGGTATCCATCCCTTAAAACTCCATTCCCAAAGGTCATCAAAGTGATCAACCACCACTACCGATTTCTTTACAGCATAAAAAACCTTTCACTGGCTAGTCTCCCCTCCCAACTTGTAGATTCCGCTCCTACCAACCTGTCTGAATTTGGCCCTGGCTTCTTTTTCTTTCATGCGGCCGTGGGCCACAAGGTAGTCGAATACTTCACCGCCGCTTGCAAACTCCATGACGAGGTACAATGTCTTCTCTGTTTCTATCACTTCAAACAGTTTAACTGTGGTAAAAAACAAGAGATATGTAGAAATGAGTGTTTTCAACATGCCTGCTTCCATGTTAAAGATGCACAGCAACCCTTCCTGTGCATTCATAATGTATAAATGATGGGCTAAATGTGAATTAATTACGGATAAATGTAGAATATACAGGCCTTGCGCTAACTTTTTTTTCTGGTTAGCTCACTGGGCTAGTTAGCTGGATATTTTACTAGCCCGTATATAAAAAAAATTTTAAAACTCAACATTTGTTACCAGCTTATCAATAAAGAATTTGACATTTCAGAAAATAAAAGGCTGATGGTATAAATATATAAATAGGCATGTATGTTGGTTAAAAGTGGCTTGAGTCACTGGTCAAGAATTCGGGATCAAAATCATCTCTTTGCTCCGTCTTTCCTCTCATTTGGGCTGCTTATGTTTGGCAAAAATTGCCACTTTTTGCTTACTTTCTGACCTCTGTACATGCGCAGTGAACGAGAAAAAAATGTTTCCTATCAGAAGAGGGTGCTATTTGCACGCAGCTTTGTGTAGACTTTGTATCAAATGCTTTCAAGGACTTTTGCAATGCCCAGTATAGCTAGCTGTGGTCAGTTAAGGTCAGAAAAATTGATAACGCCAAACAAATACTTCTGGTTTCGGTTTCCCCACCGACCCTAATTTTTCAGTGCGACCCAAAAATTTGTATCGGCAAGTTAGAAAAACAAATTTACAAAATAAAAAAAAATAAATAAAAATAATGCCAATGTCTTTTCTGTCTTCACAAAACACCTTTCAACAACCCTTTCTCATGTTAAAATGCTTGTTTTTATGTTTTCCTACTTACATTTGCAATGTTTGAGACGAAACTTTTGTCATTTTCATGAGTTCCACTCACGTTTTGCTATTGCAGTGGTGAAAACGTGTGCGCAAAGCTCAATGCATAAAAGCAAAGCTGCGCTGGTTCCCACCACGCTGTGCCCACGCAAAAGAACGCGTGATGGAAATGTGCTAACCATGCAGTTTTTACGTCCTGGTCAATTAAATTACATCAGTGTCGTACATGCATGCAACCCCACAGCTGCAGGTTGAAAAAACATCGTTGTTTCAAGAGGAATTCTGCAAGTTAATTCTCAGAACTTGGTCTCTTCTTTATGTATTTATTTTCTGTGCTCATAAGTTCCTCCCACGGCATGCGGTTTCTCACCCAACCGTCTGGATGCATCATGGACGCTTACCAAGCAACACACGGACATTGCTGGCCAGTTTGCCGTCGTGATTACCTGACTAGCATAGTGTGATTTGTCCGTAATTCTTGTGAACTGTTGACTGCAGAAATTTTTACATATATTAAGACATGTTTTTATTTTTATTTTTGGAAGCTTTCATCCCCATTCATGCTATAACATCAGCACACACAAAAAAAACACACCAAAATTCTGACCTACCGATACAATTTCAGAGGCATGTAATCGGAAGCAGAAGTTAACAGTGAACGAGAATAGTGTGCACATGCGGTATCATGCCCTGCCATGTACTATGCCATGCCGCTAAGACAACCCACCAGTCTACTCTGTTCGTGGCGTTCACGGTCGCTTATCGCCCTATCGCGCCAGCATCACGTTCCAAAAACACAAGTAAAAACACATCCACAACGACTCAGTTTTTGTGATCTTGTATTTATTATAATGAAAAGCATAATATTTTGATATACCTCCCGGTAAGTTTTAACAGGTAGGCTTATCCTGAATTTTTCACCAGCCCACCGGGCAACCAAGGCACCAAGTTTAGGTAGCCCGGAGCATTTTTCACTAGAATTTGTACGCCGGGCTAGTACTGTTTTGAGGTCTGACATAAACTAGGCAAGTCCCAAAAGTGTATTTCTTTCTAACTGAAAAAAATAATCACTAAATTGACTGCTGATGTTACTACACACCGGGTATTTGCCATTACTTTGTTGAGATCACACCACTGTGTAAATGTCGCAAACATGAATATGTAAGAAACAAAATCTTACACAAATCTTACTGATGTCACATGAATCTGAATAAGTGAGAATTCTACACCAAAAATGTGAGGAGCATGCGCAGGTCTTGTGAGCCAAAAAAACACGACTCCCCTTGCAAATCATCACTGAGTACAGGACACATGGGATGGAGGAAAGGATTGCAGTTTCACATTAATGTGCAGGAGCAGCTATCTAAAAATAAAATCAGACTTCAAAGAGGGCAAAGTCCACGTAATCGAGTTTTTTTGGGCATCACAAGTCGATTCCTTAGGGAGAGGAACTCAAGCTAGGGTCAAGCTACCTGCACATGCCTTTCAATTTTTGACTACCTGATACCACATCATTCCTGTTTTACTCATTACTTGGGCACTGTAGTTGACATAGTGCACATACATGCACCTTGTGGGTGATACTGCCTGCATTATTTATGGGTGAGACGGACACTAATTACATTGGACACTATGTAGTCCCCAACAACATCTGAGGAATCCTCAGGTCACGAACGAAGTTCACTGTTAATGCCGACCGGAATACAAAATTCCACAGATGTTGTTGTGATGCGGTTCGATCACATGGTATGATGTGTCACATGATATGCTCCACTGCATGAGTCACGATATGGTTGGTGGATCTTTACTGTTGCATGCTGGTGGGTGTTCACATGCATGTTCAGGGTGCTAGTACCAAATGGAATCGCTCAATGTCACTCCACACAAGAGATAGATTAGAGATGGGTGCACAGGTTAGATGGGGGGGTGGGGGTAACAAGCCTTTCCTGCTAGGGCAAAAACCACTAAATGCTGGCACTGACAACATCATTGAGCGGTAGAGGTTGTTAATAAGGTCTAGAGAGTGCAATGGACTACGAGCAAACGATGACTGGTTACATTTCATTCAAGAAATGAACTGGCCTGTAAAAGAAGTAGAGGAAAACTCACAATGACATTGCCTCAGTCAATAAAATGGGTATGATAATAACTAAATAACATTGATATTCTCGCATCCAGAGGAGCGCTAGTGGCACTTTCCTTGTCAAGCCTTCCCATAATGTGAAACCAACTACAGAGTTGGATGAATGCTACCAAATTATACCACAACAAAATTTAAGAGTACAGCGGAGGCTCTGCTCCGATCCAAACGTTTGAACGGATATTGTCCATCTGATTCTGTTGGATTGGTTGAAGCTGTAGTCAGCTCCCCGCAGTCGCAACACCAATGGCACGTCACCCACTTTCTGGTCAAATTGCAAACTCTTCCGATGAACTGTGACGTGGTGTCCTCTTTTATCATAGTGCATGCCACCTGTGTGTTGTCTTGGGACTGAACTTGTGACTGGCATGTACAGTAACTGACTACTGTAATTAATGTCTCAGGTTACATGCGGTACACAAAGGGCATGCTTAATATGCAAGGTACGAAGCTGAAATTGTTCTCATTAAAGGGATTTTGTCAGTTCAATATCTTACCTATATTAGGATGATCTACTAGCTTCATGATTCTTACTTCCCTGTACACCTGCAAAAAAATAAGAAAACAAAGAAACGGGTTAGTTTCCTCACAAAATTCAACATTTTCAAAGCTTCATTCTCAGATACCTAACAGCCATCTGCAGAAGGTTACATGGATTGACTCCACCACGTCATTTTTAAAAGCAACAAATGCAGAGAACTTTTATTGGAATGTACTATATAAAAATATCATGTATCAAATCAGGACCAAAAGAACTTTTGCCTTTAGGGATAAAATTCAAGATTTGTAGAATGCTGTATTCTTATCGTTAGACAGAAACCACAGATATACAAGATAAAACTGTTTGTCGCATAGTCACGTATCTTTCATTTAGTCAGAAAAGCATGACCCGAATGTCAAATTTTTAGTTAAACCTTGAACTCCCCTTTTATGGTTAACATTAAAAATCCTAAAACTGAACTGCAGTAGAAATGTGATTCATTTCCCTTAACCAAAGTGGTCATGTTTGCAGATTCAGTTCAAGCCTTTTAAACTGCAAAATAAAATGTCTTAGTGTGGCTTTTCTTTAAAAGAAAAATGAAGACGGCCAATCTACAACAACAAACAAAGAAACAAACAAAAAGAAATCAAACTCGCCTTACAGCTTAACAAACATGACAAACACACATGTAACAATTAGAGCCATCTGCAGGTACTTGGACAGCAGACTTGCAGTGTTTAAATACATGTATGGGCAAAAGAAAATAACCATTTTGGTGACACCGCAGATAGGTTCTAGGGCGGTCATATCACTATCCTTCATGTCATGTACAAGCATGCATAAACAGATTGGCACAGATCAGGGTATGGTAACTTTAGACACTCCATCGATCAAGGATCAACATCATTCATCATGATAATGGCATGCCTCATATCCCAGCATGAAAACATGCAGTGGTTCTTCTCCCTTGTAAGAAAACTGATGACTTTCTTTCCCCAGACATTTGAGCAATATCATTCACCGAGTCTTCGGTGAGTACATTGCACTGCAGCAGTGCTTTGAGTGTCTACAGAGTGTGACAACACAGATGTGACAGTCTGAACAAAGCCATGTCTCCGCAAGGATACAAATTTCAGAATACAAAGGCATGAATGTGTAGGTGTCGCACAGTCCCAGTGGTTAATATTACCTTTAATTCCGAGACCCTAAAAACTTCTGGTTTCCAGCAACTGCAGATTTATTTCACCGATCTGTAGTTTTGTTCTGACCATGTGTGTCCACATTTGTTTTGACAACATGGAGTCTTGTCTCCAGCAAAGGTAACTTTAGTTAGTGACAAAGTCTTATACTACCAGTAATGACAAGAAACTTCTCATCCCCAATCTCAAGCTTTTGCTGTGACTTGTCAGAGATACATGTAAACAAGGACATTTCAGAAGATACGTACATGTACACCAAAATTCCTTGAAGTTCAAACTTGAAAATGAATGATTTTAACCTGTAGACTGCTCAGAACTGTGTTTGTGCTCCACAAAGCAAGGTACATGTGCATCAAATTATACTTTCTATGTATTTCTTCCACTGTACATGTACATTCTACATGTCCAGTAAATTGTGATTGAAAGTTAGCCTCAAGAGGGGGAAAACTTTTCACACCTTTTCCCATCTAGGAAAATGAATATTTATTTCACAAATCTGAAAAAGTTTTCTCTCAGTGGGAAAGATTTTCACACTTTTTTCCCCTCTGTGAAAAAGAAATTCATAAGTGGGGAATTTCTTCACACCTTTTTACACAAACAAAAAGAAATAAAACTTGAAGTAAAAGTGGGAAATTTGTCTGTGAATATGAATGCTTTTCACAATTTTTCCCAGTCGTTTTCACAGGGTTAAGTTTCAATTGGAATGCACTAAGTATTGTATACACTATACACTTTTCCAGTATGGGAAAGAAAGCAAATTATGTGCCATCTCTCTCAATTTGATCATGGAGGAATAAGAACATGATTTCATCAAACCATCCAATACCCATGCCATTGCTTTACATGTACGCGTGGAGAGTGCAGTAATTGGCTTAGCCCTGGCTGCCAAGTACAGCAACACAACACACATCAATACAGTTTAGTCCTGAGCTCGAAGCAAATTAAATTGCCCAAATTAATCATATGGTATTACACTCTACAGGTCTGCCATGCAACATTTACATTTGATGTCAAGTGCACTCAAGCCTACCGGTAAAACCTCCAGAACATTTGTAAAAACTGGCTGATTCGCAGGATCGCAGGACCCAAATAAAACTTACTAGCACACTAAGAAATAACCAGATGCATATATGTGCTGGTATTTGTGGTGTCTGCAATCCGGTTCTCTGAAAAAACTAAGGATTATCTCTTCAAACTGTATGTGCAATGCAAAATTATGTTCACAATCACTATGTATGCCCTGCACTTCAGCAACAGCGTTGTCCGATGTACCATTCGACTTATATAATCAAGAAGTACAGTATGGAATTTGAGAAGTGAATTGTTTGATGGGGCCTCGTTATGTGTCCAGATAACATCTCACGCCCATATACATGTACAATAAAACATATGTACAGAAAAGCCACACAAGGCTGGACTCGATCAAAATACCCTTTCTTCCACTTTTGTTAGCATTGATTGTACCTTGAAGGCAGGATCAATATGTACATGCATGAACATGTAGGCCTGCTCGTGACTAATGGCAGTACGCACACCACAAATGAGCAGAAGCCTCTCAAAGAGGGTATGAACAAAAATCCATCAGACAAGTCATTTCTTGCAGTCCATTCTTCAGTTGAATCAAACCAAGTTTCCATCAATTCCTAGCCAATTTTCCATCAACAGCTTAGACTGATAGCTTAGGTTGATTTCTAATACCATCATGTGTGACAAAGGGGATACATGCCATCAAAAGGGAAATTTCCTAACAGAGAGGAGAAATACCTCGAGAAATGTCAGTGAACCCGAAAGCTACAAGCAGGAGGGCAGCCGAGAGAAAAAAAAAGATTATCTCGGGAGAGGAGAAATGGAGTTATGAATAAAAGTGGGAGCTACATGTAGGTGAAAGAAAGACCACAACATGCACTAACTTCGATATGTTAAACCAACATTTTTCTTTTTGCTTTTAAGACAATCCACTCGTCTGACTTTCCAACATTGAAAAGTGGGAAGATAAGCTCAAAGGTATTACTGTGGTCGGCTCAGGGGAAGAAACACAGCCCACACAGGTGACCCGAAGGGGAAGGTAAAACCTGGTCCAAGCCAGGACACTGTTGGTACTCTTATCTCCTAATCCAAGCACAAATACTGTGGAAAACTTAACAGGACAGAAAATTAGCTGGCTGTATCTGGAGGCTATGCTTTCAAACCATACACACAAAATCTACCGTGGGTGTACATGTTTCTCTGTCAGCTTCCTTGTACTATTTCCATCATGCTTCAAATATGAGCATTTAGGTCAAGATTGCTGGCTATGTATATTTTTCTGCATATCCTTCCCATGCAATCATGACTTTGCATTAAAAAGCGCTGGCTCCCAAGGATGGATTCACTGTAACTGCCAGTGAGCTTTTTAAAGTCAGACTTATCCACAGCCTAAAATTATAGCAGGGTGGCACATAATGCGAACGCAGAACGCGAAGCCATTATGGCGGCTTGGGGTCTGGGGCCCACTCAAGGGCCCTAAGAAATTTTGGATTCTAGATGCTCTGTGGTGCAATCTGAGACATTCCCTGGGCACTTTCTTTAGACCCCTTGAAATTTCGTGTTGAAATGAAGGAAAGATTGTTATCGGGAGGTCATCAAAAGTTGGATTTTTTTTCTGGGGCATTTTCTTTTTTTACTGATCGAAACTCGCCATCAAGCAGATGGTTCGGGATTAGATGTACGTGTACATATGTGGGCGCAGCACGATTGGATGATATACAATTGCTTTCCTAATTCTGGATCTCAAAAATAACTTCATGGTCAGATTCCAGCAACAAAATCCTATAATTCGGTGAAACATGGTCAGTCATTCACCTCTTGTATTGGAAAAACTACAAAATTACTTTCAAAATCTAAGCATTTAATCTGGACTTACGGGATCGTCAGAAGAGACAACCCTTCTGAAAATTTTTTTCATAAAAAGTCAGCCAGAGCCATTGTGGCAAGCAGATTTTCTAATTAAGAATTTCTTGATTTCGAGGAAATTAGTTCAAAAATAATAATTTCAGTGAATTAACAAGTGAAAGTTGTGTACGTTTTGGTTTTACTTTCTCAGCTGTGCTGCAAGCAATCAGCTACTACCCCCTTTGCTGCAGTTGACAAACCCATTACGTCACATACATGTACATTTCTGTTACGCCCATGTAGTTGAGTTTGCAACATACATGCGTGCACAACTAGGAAAAATTTATGCATTTAGTTTTTGGCTAATTTACAAAAAAAGGGAAACTCCAAAAGTCATTTTGATTAAACATTCATTACATGCAAACATTTATAGGACTGTTCAGTAGGAAACAAGTATTTGGAATCACACGTACAGAAGACTTATCACCTGCTATTTTGGGGTTGATTTTGGGCTCTTGTGATTTTTGACAAACCATCAAAATATTGTCGGAGTTTGAGTCTAGCCGGTAAAATATTTCTTTTCTAGATGTTTTCTGAAACAAAAATTTTGTACGAGAAGCTTGCATTTCACCTGAACTTGTTTGAGAATGTAGAACACATAAGAAGTAGTTTTAGAAGCAGAAGAAGAGAAGTTTTATTTCAAGCAATGCGGATCTAGGAAAATAGAGAACTACATGCAGGAAATTGGCTGTATTTTCCGAGGAAAAAACATTGCATTCGAGGTACAGTATTGGTTCTTGACGCTACAAAATGAAAATGCAATGACCGGGAGATTGGAACCAGTCCAATTTTGTGCTTTCGTAAGTATACTGCATCTGGCATTGATCACAAATGGTGCGTATTGCTTTTCTGTTGTGCTGGATAATGATGACAAACTCATCATGTTCGTTCAATAAAGTGTGGTTAATTTCTCTGCATTTGGTTAAAATGTGAAG